AACTGCGGGAAACCACAATACATTTTTTCGCGGTGCAAACAAATAGAGGAACAAAACGAATAAGTTGCCCTGTAGCTTGACATTACAAGGTACTGTAGAAGAAACTTGTAAAAGAAATTTAGAACGTACCGTGACGTAGAGTCATTTCATTATTAGTTCTTCATTTACAAGTTATCCTGTAGCGTCAAGTTACAGAGAAACTAGTAAATCAAAGTCTCAACGTACCGTGACATAGAGTAATTTCAGTATAAGTTCTTCATTTACAAGTTACACTGTAGCGTCAAGCTACAGAGAAACTAGTAAATCAAAGTCTCAACGTACCGTGACATAGAGTAATTTCAGTATAAGTTCTTCATTTACAAGTTACACTGTTGCGTCAAGCTACAGAGAAACTAGTAAATGAAAGTCACAACGTACCGTGACATAGAGTAATTTCAGTAGATATAAGTTCTTCATTTACAAGTTACCCTGTAGCGTCAAGCTACAAAGAAACTTGTAAATGAAATTCACAACGTACCGTGACGTAGAGTCATTTCAGTATTAGTTCTTCATTTACAAGTTTCCCTGTACCGTCAAGCTACAGAGAAACTAGTAAATGAAATTCACAACGTACCGTGACATAGAGTAATTTCAGTATAAGTTAAACGTCAATTCAATGGATAATTAAACTATACCTATAGGAAGTTACAGTAGTTATAACCCGTGGTTTTACTTGCGTGACTTAATACTCCTGTAGGCATTTCTTATTTCATGCCAGGTATGAACTGTATATGGAGGTGAATCAAAAATACTATTAATAAATATAAATACTTATAACATGGACAGTAAAAGAACAGCAAAATGAAAATGGCAATTTCCAATTACATTTAAATAAAGATATTCAATATTAATAGAAAAGTAAATATATAAACATGTGCTTTGAGTTTGCAACAGTCTGTATTCCGTAACCATTTAAGTGACATGCACTCTTCCGTACTATACCAAGCCAACTGGCCACTTGGCTTCCGAGTCACCTGGCCTGGGCACATAATGAGGACAGCATTGTTCTCACCTAGCCTCATATTTGACCATTATATAGAGTCGTGAATGATGATTACACAATATTTTTATAGGACTGGAAATGCAAGCAAATTGAAGGCTCAACTAATGGTAACTGGTAACCGTCGCCTATATATATGTTCTATGGACATCACATTATCATTTGACGCCCGTGATACTACATATGCGTAGCAATTCCGAAGAATTAATGTTATACCTGTTACCTCGTAATGCCAGCCGTCAACCGAAAGATATCTTACAAAGCAAACTGCTTGGCGTCTGAAATAGGTGAAACTGAGGTATCTACGCACTTTTTACAAAGTCTACCCTAAATAAATCATAGTTAGTCTACCTTTAATAATTTTTATTTTTCACTAGCTTTAACGGCGACTTCGTCGCGTGGAATTTAATCTAAAATAAAAATTTAATCTACTATGATCCAGTCCCATGAAAGTCCCATCAAAATCGGTCCAGCAGTTTTGGAGATTAGCAAGAACAAATAGACAGTCAGAAAAAAATTTTTGACGTACCACAGGTACCGTCTACATACACTTTCATATGCATTTAGTATAAAGCTTTTAAAATTACAAAAACTGACACTCCAATTTTATTTATTTGTATACATATAAGAACCACTGAATGTTATTGTATTTAAAAATAAACAAAGTAAGAGGCAAAGTTAAAAATAATCTGCACATCCGGTAGTATCAACTTAATGTAGAAATAATGAATTCGTCGCGAATCGCCCGTCCCCTGTTTGTCTTTCAATTAGGAGGTCCCAGGGGAAGTTTCACCCCCACTTCATGTTCACCCCCTCTGATACCTCCTGTTTAAACACAACGCAACAAGAGCCGCATCTATATTTAAACAGCATAGAAATTAAATCTCTTGTCTAAGTTACACAATGTAATTTTCGACTCCCATGATTTTATCTTGTTTTATTGTAATGTTTGGGCTACATACATAATTAAATTTATAAAAATACATAAGTTTAAATATGCGGTCTCGGGGGCACAAACATTTGTATGGTTTAATTCCTCGCACGACACAAACATTTGTATTCATGAGTATGATTGTTGATTGATTTGTCGGTCTGGGTGTTTTCTGTTTAGCTATTTACGAAAAAAATATATATCTACGTAGTTGTTTCAGTTATAGTACTCATAACACAAGTTAGCTTACCTTGGATCTAGATGGTTCTGTGTGAATTGCCCTGAGATTATTATTATTATTAAATGGTATTAATAAATAAAAAACCCTGGACAATTAAAACAGCGCCATCGAGTCACACGGTAAGCAGAGCTTGTGTTATGGGTACTAGACAACTGATACATAGATTTCTTTTCGTAAATAATACACCAAGAAAACAGCCAGATACGAGCAATCATACTCATGATTAAAAATGTTTGCACCAAGGAATCGAGCCCGCGACCATCGGAAGAAAAGTGGTGTGCTAAACAGCTATACCACCGAGGCCATTAGTGATACTTCTAATCTACCTTTATTTTAGTCTGTGGTTAGTATATTCTATGGCATTTTGACCCAATGGGATCTTATCATAATAGCTAATTGTGATAAGATACCATTAATATTATAATCCCATAAGATTAATACGTGTCTCATTTTAAACCAGCCTTAATACAGTCCTTCCGTAATATTGTGGTGAAGACACGTTCCTAGGTGAGGTAAAATAAGTGTAATCAGCTTGCTAGCAAAAATATAAAGACAGAACATGGCATAAGAAAACAAACGGTATATAAAAACAGAGCGTCAAAATATAAAATTCAAATATATGTAAAAAACATAAAAACTATCAAAAAGGTTGCCATCGGCAACATTATTAGTATGTATTATCATTATTAGTACATATTATCTAATTATTATTATTGTTTACGTTCAAATGAAAGTACTAGTAGGTATCTAGTTTAGGCCGCGGATAATATTCTCATAGTTGCTTCTCAATACATTTACGAAAATATCATGTATACCAAGAAAAATATTAACAGTTTCTAAATAGTAAGCGATTACACTAATAAAAGCTTACGTAACAACAAACTGGTTCTACCTAAATGCCGTTTAACTAAAGTTAGTAGGTAATATGTTTTATGGGAATTGCGTAAGGTTTTATAACAAACAGTCACACAGTCTGTTCTAAATCTGTCAAAAGAAAAGTTACCAATATTGTATAAGAACACTTTCTTTGTAAAACAGCTTATTATAGAATTCGTTTCTAAATGATGATAATATTTTTGTAGAAAAATACCTACTCAAAATTCATAGTAAGCACCATTCCATTATCACCAATTAAAAAACACTTTAATAAAATAAAACGACGGCATGGGAGAACCCTTAAACCTATACTCAGGTCACAAGTCCTGCACGGAGTTTCCCTCTATGCCACACCATGGAGCCGGCTCTATAAACCTATGGAATGCTGAGAAGTTCGTGTCTTAATTAAGGATTATTTTCAGAATATGATATTTTTATCTCGGAACTACTACGGGTTACACCAATACGCTACGAAATGCTACGAATATTCAATAATCTTCTCACTAACATTTGAGTTCCGTGATATCCAAAACCTAGCAATTATTGGAAACAATAATAAAAATGGTAAACAAACTGACAGTCCATCAGTGATGAGTAGTCGTCTGATTTAAATTATGAACAGCACTACGGACACCACGACGTATCCGTCAGGCGGGAGTAGGCCGTAAGTCGCTCCATAAGTCCTTCCGCGGGTTTGGAGTACCATCTGCACTCGCTCTCGTATCGTCCGGTGAAGCTGTAAAGGCCAGCTACGACCAAAAGCATTAGAGTACCTAGTCCATAAAAAAAGGGCACCACGTTATCATGTGACGCCCGTGATACTGCTCACACGTTGCCATTTCGGAGTACTAAGATGTCATGCCTTTATCCGATAATTTAACTGCCTTATCTCAGTCTTAAACCGAAATACAGCTTACAGAGCAAGCTGATTGGCGTATGAAACAGGTGAGTCTGTGAGAATAGTCCAGAGGTATTATTATCTATTATTACTACCTACATAGACCAATGCAGACTTTTTACAAAGTCAATATACCTCGGTAATAACAGATCCGTCCTAGTAGGATAAACTATAGTCACAACGATCTTTAAAATATGTTGAGCCCCTTAAAAATGTAACGACAGACAGACATAAACAGAACCATTTATAACATTAGTATGTATATAATACTTATAAAAAAAATATTTAATTATATAGTACTATTCTATATACTACAATTTAACAAATAGGTACTTTCTTATTTTTTTATTTTCTATCAATAAAATACTTATCCCACTACTGATTATAAAGATCCTTTAAAATATGGTGCAGTAGGTATTTGAATTATATAGGATGGTGCTATATAATTATGTTATTATAATACAAATGATGTAACACACATTTTTATTTATGCAGATATAATAGTAATAAAAAAAAAGTGTTTCGCCCTGAGTTTAGCCGGGTTGATCAATTGTACTATAATATAAAATTTTAATAAATGTATCTAACACTTGTTTGAAAGAGTTAATATTAAATAAATATCTACTTATATCCTACTTAAAAATTTATAACTGTAATGAAAGACATTTTTTATAATGAATAAAGCAATTAAAATAATAAATAGGTACCTATATATATCTGGTGTTTATTAAACATAATTGAGATTTTAATATTCATTAAATTTATATGTATTGTTAAAATAATTTCTTAAAGTCATTAAAAATATTCGACTTGTTTAATTAATTAAAATATTCAGTGTTATTATAATAATAAATCACTTTTAACACATTAAAATAAATAACATATAGATAAGTATATCTTATTAAAATAATTTATATAAATCGTTAAATATATTCGAATTGTTTATCAACTTGCATTAATAAATCACTATCAAATATAAAATTAAAAAAAATATACAGGTTAAACCTTAACTCACCTGCTATGTTCACTCGCATAAACGTCACAGCAAATCAAAACATCCCAAACACTAAACCCGCCACGTCACTCAACCGCGAGTCAAACCCGTACTGTGCTCACGTCGGTCTCTCCGACCGAGCGAGACCACGCCTACGGCCCGGTGCCGCCCTCGGCTCCATTCTGCTCCAACCCTGGCCGTCCCAGAACCTTATTTACTGGTATCGCCCGCCCTCACCGCCTCATCTTATCGATTGGACGAACCCGGCACTTATTTAAGGCGGTAACGGCTGAATTAATTTTGTGATTGAAATTACAAGTATGATGGTATTAATTTGTTCGCGCCTCGCTTGTTCGATTAAACCATGTTATTATTTGGTTGGGATGCTTTGTTATTGCAGTTTGTTAATGTTTTGTGGCGAATTTTGTTGGTTAACATGGCAAGTTTGGGAGATACCTTATTTAAGTCGCTATAACCGACTGTGGATGTGGTTATATATACTTAATCAGAGTTATTTCTCCTAATGGTAAACAGCATTCGATTTGTTATATGAATGCACAAAGACTGATTTTCATGATTTAAATATACATAGATAGTGCCTACTATATAGATTAGATATAGATATCTAAGTGCTGTTGCATTTATTTGGACAAGTGTTTTCTCTTTATCATTATATTTTATAGCTTTTATTTTAGCATCCTACTTTGTAAGAAACTTTTGTTACTATAGTTTTTCTATAGTAATATACTATAATTTATTATTAAGAATTTTTGTTGAAAATATTTCCTTGATTCTGTATAAATCGCATTATGTAGATATATTTTAATTTTTAAATTAGATTTGAGAATTGGCAAACGTAGTGTAGGACGCCCTGCAGCTAGGTGGAGCGACGACATACGTAGAGTTGCGAGTAGTAACTGGATGAGAAGGGCCGAAGATCGTACCCAGTGGCGTGCCTTGGGAGAGGCCTATGTCCAGCAGTGGACTGCAGTGGGCTGATTATGATGATGATGATAATGATTTTAAAGATCAATTACAATCGCTTACATGTATCATCACTACAAAACTACAGTATGTTCTATATCTATACATTTTTGTAGTTGTCACGGCAAGATTTGTAAATGAAAATATTTAAAATTTTAATTATCGTACCTATAAGAGAAATTATTTGATTTTTAAATAATGTACATATTTGAACATGTCTAGTCCCAGTTATATACTGCGTAGATAGATCGGATAGTTTCGGCAAATCTCTTTATACCTAGAGATGAAAATAACTTGTGACTCGTGGAGGAAATAGGAGGTAATAATACAATTTGAAGATTTGTTTACTGTTCCTAGTGATTTCTTCCTAAAATCAATTGTTAGGTTTCTTAAGTGAACAATTCTATTTCATAAATTGAATTGATATTTGGAAAAAAAATATTACTGCAAAAAAGGTTATAGTGAGTTAACCTTAAAAGATAGACATATGTTGTCGCAGACTTTTTTAAGAACGGCCGTCCATGACATATCTGTTATACCTACATATTTAATTTGAACTGTTAATGCAGCAGCAGAAGCACTGTGATGAATGATCAAAGTGCTTCCGCTACATAGTCGTAGCGTTAGATATGTTATACAGCCTATAGCACTCGGAGATAATATACCTTTATAACATTGAAAAAACTTTTAAAATCAGATGAGCAGAACCGGTATATATAGTATAGAGGGGGAAAGGGGATTGTTAGTAATGTGGACTGATGATCTAATTGCTAGCAACGTACCATGTCAGCTTGACCTCCACGCGGTTCCCTTGGAAACCATCGTGATAAATTTTGGTGAATTTGTTACAATGGCCTAACTGACCTGACCTCATCCCATCATATCATCCTCCACATGTGCCCCGCCAGCGTAAACCGTTAGCGCAGGCGGGTGCACCATACCATTATCATCCATAAAAAAAATAGTAGGTATAGATTGTTAGTAATGTTAGTATTAATGGGGTTATTAGCCCAATAACCCCATTAATACGTTTTGAATATGCAAGCAATAGGGTTATTAGTCATGTCAGGTTGTCCTCCACGTGGTTTCCCCTGAAAACCATCGTGATAAATTCATGGTGAACTTACCACGAGGGCTAACTAACCTGACCTTATATGATCATCTTATCATCCTCCACTGGTGTGATTCCATTGGTGATTTCATTAACATCCAAAAGAAAAAAAATAGTAAATTATAGATTTAATATTTCCTAACAAACAAACTTTTGATTAACAATCGATTGAAATTATAGCTGTCATATCCGCTAAGATTAAATTGGCAAAAAATGTCATCGCGATAACAGCCGGAGGGTTGAATCCGAGAATGTATACAGTGAAAATAATCACGGTGTCATAATAAACAAGCTACCCGTCTGTTGGAGATTTAACCCTCAATTATGGCATTAAGCCGCGATGAAGGGTTTAGAGCCCCTGTTGCGTCGGCAATTGACCAGTTTAGGGTTAAGATTAACAATGTTATAATGCATTTGTTATCGATACTTTTAAGAAATATACATTTCAGATATAACATTAAATATAATACGGTATAAGTTGTAATAGTATAGGTACATTTTTTCTCGATAAGTATTTTAATTAAGTATTGCAGATATTCTAATGTTCATTATAATACGGAGTAACTCGTAATAGATACCAATTTTATTTGGTCGACATGGAGTAATAGAAGGTATCTAACTACTATCATTTTAACTGTTTAACTTTTATGTATAAATTGTGTATAATACGGTCTTGTGATTGATCCAATATGAACCTAGAGTATATTTTTTTATAAAAATATATATTTAGTTTAGACATTTCTGGTTTAGAGAAATACTATTGGTTTACATCTCTGAGATCTTAAGATAATGAAATAAATTTGATAGGCAAAATTTATAACTTATAATTACACCATATATTTCTAATACAAAAAAAGCACGCAAATAACAATGCATGCATAATGTCTACTTTATGTGTCAGAAATATATATTTATTAATATAAAATGAGTATAATAATAGAATGTGTCTCATTTAAAAACTTAGTTTTCAACTGCTAAACCATGTGATAATGTTTGACCAAATAATGAATTACTTATTAGTTACTATTACATCCATATAATTATAACAAAAATCATACATAAATAATAAAATAATTAAAAAATTATTTAATTGTATCGATATATTCCACTTTAGTTTCCCATCACTAGTTGCATTATTCAATACTGTATACTGTATAGGCACTGACATAATGAAGTGTCGTCACGGCGCACACGCCCGCTCTGGCCATTGTGCGCCGTCTGTTGTGTGCGGTGACCCTTATGTTGTATCGTTAACTGATTACCAATAGATCACTTAATTGGAGAATGTTGTGTAAATTTATTACTCACCACAGGAATACAATGTTACAAAAAATTGCACGATAATAATAATAATAAAATAATCCTGTACAAATAACACAGCGCGAACTAATTCCAAGGTAAGCACAGCGTGTGTTCCGTAACACAAGCCTTGGAATTAGACTCTTCTCTTTCTAGGTACTATATTTATATCAATTGTGTAGTACTCATGTACCTACGTACTATTGACAGGTATAAATACATACATAAATACATTTCTTTTAGTAAATACGTACATAATACATACATAGAAAACACCCAATACCTAGACTGATACAAACAATCATACTTATGAATACAAATGTTTGCACCATGCGAGGAATCGAACCAGTCATCATTGAAAGTAAAGCAGTATGCCAAACTGCTAAATAATTTTACCTGCATTTTCATCTGAGTTCAAGTTTATTCCATCTAATAATGCAGTGGACAGTTGTTTATATTTAACTATATAATTTATCTCCATTTTGCTTTCATCCAAAAATCACCTTGCATCCGAACAAATTACTACGGTTAGAATAGAAAAGTATTAAAAGCAGGCGATTATACATTAAAACATGCATAAAATAGGTATTCACAAAATATATCATCAACAGGCTCAACAACTCTAAAATGAAGTATAATTCAATAAAAATAAAGTTGAAAATAAAACAACCATTTGGCTGCATATTTTTTTTAGATGCTTGATGTAGGCACACAATTGGAGAGCATTTAAACTTCACCCAAGTGAGTCGCGTGCCAATTAATTGAGGATTAAGGTATGGGTGCTTACCTCTAATGGAGGAAAGACAAGATGAATAGACTTAAAATATACTCGTTCTATTTTTAAATGGAAATGCAAAGCATAGCTTATTTAGAAACCTTCTAATACTTAATAAGTATAACATAATATCTCTGGACAATTCACAGTATCTTCTAGTCCCAAGGTAGACTCAAATTAACAGCAATGTATGAGGTATAGATGCTTACCTCCAGTAGTGGAAAGACAAGATGAATAGACTTAAAATATACTCGTTCTATATTTAAATAAAAATTTCAAGTTCTCTTTTCGAAAACTTCGAATAATACCTTTTTTTATTGGGGGGTTTCGGCTATTGTCATGTGCTTGGACCTGCAGCACTGCAACCTACATAAACCTATTGTGCTCGCCCTTTTACAGCATTCGCTATCTAGACGCGTCTGGACAGGAATTGAAGAATATTTTTAGGAGCGATGGTTTTTACCTCCTCAGGATAGAGTGTAAACTTTTCAAAGGAGATATTTCGTTTTTGTTTGAGTGGGCTATAACCATATAGGATAGGTTCTTTCCCGGTGAATCGACTTCAATGGGCTAACTGGCCTGACCTCATATCCATCTTATCATACTTCACTGGTGGCCAGCGTATATCTTTAGCACAAGAGCGGGCATTATTCCATTATAATCCTTTAGAAATGAACCATGTCAAGTTAGGGAAATCGCGTGGAGACCCCACCCGATTTTCCGAAAACCATCGTGATAAATACCTGATGAATTTGCCACGAGAGGACTAACTGAGGCAGAGGGGTGGCATCCTCTACTGGTGCCACGCCAGCGTAAGCCGCTAGCGAAGGCGGATGCATTATTTCATAATGTTCCATTAAAAGAACGTAGATATATAAACCTTAATTATGTCATTATTATTAAATAGAGTACGCAACTGAAATCAGTCAACA